CTCTTCAGAAAACCTGGCTCTGGTGAGAAGCCAAGGCTTAGGGACCAGCTCCAGGGAGTTTGTTCTTACAGACAAAGCGCTGGTACCACTCAAAGAGTGCAGCTGTGTAATACTCCTAAACTAAGCTAGGAAGAGAAGGATCTCTTATGGCCTCGAGTCTACCACAGCCTTCCCCCAGCGTCCTGAATCGAACGCCCGGGAGCCAGTGGTGTTTGCCAGCACACAGGTACCACATGTACACAGCTCCTGGAAATGTCTCCCACCTGGACAAAGCCAGGGAATGATAACAAAGCAAACCCGATGTCAGCCTGTAGGAAGAGCAAGTCACCAAGTTTACAGGCAGACAGAGAACTGCGTGTTCCTCCTGCCGTGGCCCAGCTCCCTGGGTACAAGTATGTGTCAGAGGCTTGACAGAGAACAGAGACCCCAATTCCAGAACAAAGAAACAACGCAAGAGGTCCTTGATGGACAGAAAAGCCACTGAGGTCTGCAGTGTATGAAGAGAGACTATTTTTAGATGACAGGCAAAGCAGAGCGTTCTTTCCTGCACACTGTCAACATCAAACCAAGAATTCACCCAGACAAAAGCCCACAGGACGGCAAGCGCACACTCCTCGGGTCTGAGAATCCTTGTGGAAGTTGGACAACAGGCAGCGAAGCTGTCACCTGAGAGGCTGTTCCAAGGCACAACAGAATGCATCCCGGCTGCAGAGAGATTTTGAGAGACACAGGAATAGCAAAGGGGAAAAACCAGTGTGCAAGGATGCACTGCGCTGCCAGAAGAATCAATTTTTACTTCTGAAATAAAAGATTTCAGCCCAGGGTGGCTGCCTGAACAGGGCAGGTCTTTGCCGAACAGGCCCCAGGCAGCCGAGCATCCTGAAGCCCAGGGCAGAGGGAGCGATGCTGGATGAGGATGCAGAGACAAGCCACTTGCTGCAGCCAGACTCTATAAGCTTGATTATAGATTTGTTTGATACAAGAAGCACTCGTGTGGCCTCAGTGGACAGAGCTCTCCAGACAGCTCTCAAAGCTTCACAACACTGGGAAGGGAACTGCATGTGTACTAACATGAAAGAGACTGCAGAGCAGATTAATCCAAGGATACGTGCACACAAAATCTGAAAGCTTCAGCACCATTTCTCAGACCAGTCCCTTGAGATCAAAAGCTGAGAAAGGGGCTAACAAGGGAAATAGTATCCAGGTCAGTCCTTTCTGCGTCTGCAGGTGGACCAACCAAAAGTGAATCCTCCTACCAATCCCTGGCGCAAGGTGGAGGAACATGTGTACATACACCCTGTCATGCCGGATAACCCCGAGGGGATGAGATGCCCTTTTCTGCCTAAGCAGTTTGTCCTGGAGGCAAGGGTCACCCCCAACAAGCCTTACCTGACCCAATCTTGATCAGTCCGTTGTGCTGGATGAAGATGGTGTCGCAGGTCAGGTTGCCGTGGATGATTGGGGGATCACAGGAGTGGAGGTAGCTGCGGATTCAGAACAGAGCACTGGTCAGGAAGCTGCGGGGCTGAGGCCAGGACCCCCTCTTCAAGCCCTCCCTGGCTCAACCAGCATCAGAAGAGAACAGGAAAGCAAAGGGCACATGCCAGGCATTTACAATAGCCGGGAGGTACAATTAAGTGACTGTTCATCAGCTTCCAGGCTAGCAGAGAACAATGAAATTTAAGCAATTGTCTCTAACAAAAAATCTCCAAAACATGGGGGAAGAAAAGAAAGCTTTCTCTCATCAGTTCCAAAGAAACCCAGGGTACCAGGGGTAAAGAAACTACTTCATCCATCCCAGCGCTGCTAGCTGGGTGCTGAAAGGGTTCCAATTTTACACCAGAAATACCAGAGCCTTATTCTGGCCTTATTCACAGGGCATCAAAAAAGCACTCAGTGCGGTACGAACACAATCGGTCGTGTTTTCCAGCAGGCACAAAGAGAGCTTTTCAGCGCTGGCGTCCCAGGGACAGTAGAGGCTGCCTGGTTTCGCACCTCACTCCGCTGGGTTTTATGTTAGCAGCCAGCACAAACGCGGACTGACAGCTCCCAAAAGCTTATCAGAACCCTAGCTATTCATCAACAGCTATATTTAGCCAAATGGCAACAGAATTTTCTCTATGGAGTGGGAGTCATGCTCTGACACCTGGGCTATTGTTTTGCCAGAGCTGTTATTAGCTACACACCAACTCTGGCTCTTCAAAACAAAAACCCCCACACTCTGTTCAACTGGGTTGCACTGAGATGGCTGCAGAAGACCAGCATCAAGAAAACATGTAGGTTCACATACACTTCTAACAAAATCACACCACAATAACTGAGAATCCACTGCATGCTACAGGGCTGCAGCCTGACAAGATTAACAACATTTTCCTCACTCCTCTCACACAGAATTTGATTTATTTGAGACTTCTTTGCAACATCCTCCTGGATCCAGGTTATAGTGTTGGATACTCTGGAGACGTCCCTGATGTTTGACTCCCACGCTCACTATCATATCCGCTTCAACTGCTGGGATCCAAAGTCTACACTGCACCCGCTTCTCTATTTTAGAGGCTTCAGGACAGTCTCGCTGGACTCTGGGGTTGTTACAGGAAGCGCAGCTGACACTCTGCAGATGCCTGACTGGGATAAGAATCAGGCTGGATGACTGCAAGTGCTCTCCAGACTCCATTTCGCGAAGCTTGCTAACACTTGGCAGCACGTACGTTTACAGCTTTCAGTGTTCCAGCACAAGAGAGGCTGCACTCAGACAGAACACAAGATCAGGAACTCACGCACCTGAGAGCAGAGAGGATCTGTGTACACCATCGCTTCCAGGCCTACAGGAGCAAAAAGGATAAAAATCATTTGAGGAAGAGGAACCAATCCATGGTTCCGTGATTCACAGCCCGTTCATGTAAGGAACACGTGCTCTGTTCGGTGGCAGCCCAGCTTTCACCCAGTGTAGGAAGGAAGAGCTTAGAGGAGCAGTACTCTCATGCTCAGTTTAGTTTCTACATATTCGTACGGGTCAAGAAACACACCTCCCCTCCTAACTCCCTCCCTCCTTCCTGCATTCGCACATGGAAAGGGACATGCCTGTCACAGCATACGTAAGCAGCTGTAGAACTGCGGGGAACAAAGCAACAGCACAGGACAGCTCTCCAGGAGAACCTGCAACTAAACCACCTCACAGTAATAAAAAATTGCAGCCACGTGTAATCACCAGGCTGCCTTCTCGTCAGGATCCTCTGCTGAGAGAGCTTTCCAGAGGCTGAGGGCACTAAGGGAATATAGGCACACATGAAAAGAAGAGAGTTACCTTTTCATTCATAGTTTTGTGGTTTTTCTTTGTCTTCTTCAGGAACTGTTTCAAGCTCCCTGAAGACATGTATTCAGTGATGAAGATCACCTGTAGGGACAGTTTGAGACATCACCCTCTGCTTCATTCATTACCTACAGGACACACAGTGAGAAAACCCAACAGACTGCTCGGTCCACTTACCCTGGCCTTATTCTCCTTCACATCAGCCCAGTATTTGTGAAACTTCACAATGTTCAGATGTTCCAGCTGAATTAAGTTGTCAAACACCGCTTTAACTTTTTCCTTAACATCAGAAAGACAAAGACACGTTACATCAGAGACCACATCAGCCCGTCTCTTACTTTCTTCTCGGGTCTCAGTCCCCTTAAACAGCACTGGACGCTCCAAGCTCCTACGCTAATGACAAGCAGCATCTGATTTCATCCTGCACTGCCCCTTCGCTGCGCACGGTTTAATTACCAAGCTGAAATCAGCACCAGAGCCCACGGAAAGAGCACAGCAACAGTTCTGTCCCATGCTCTGCACAGGCCAGGCTCACGCTGGATTGCTGCCCTGGAGCAGCAGGGCACTCCAAATCCAGCCAACGATCCGCGTGGAAGGCCACCAGCACCTGAACCCCACGCTGCTGCAAGGTTAATTTCCCACGTCTTGTTGGGAAACACATCAACTTACTTCCTGAAGCTTAAAGTTCTTCCGCTCCGAAAACTGAACCTCGTTCCACACGACCTCCACGCCCTCCTCCGTGTCCATGGCCAGGTAGGCACTGTCGATTCCCGGGACATTGCGCTGGTTCACCTGGGCGGGAGGGAGGGACAGAGGTCAGCTCTGCCCCAGCGAGACCAGATCATTGCCATGTGTCCTTCACTTGAGTATCAGGACCCCTGCTCATTCATTTCTAATTTAATGAGCGTTCCAGGACAGGATTGTGCACGTGTATCTCAGGGACGGGACATACCCCAATGGGAGAACATTTCAGGCCACGTAAGCAGCAATCCCCGGGTGTATTTGAGGGAAAACTTTTGCACAAAGGCTGTTTTGTAGTAAAAAGCTGCCTCTCAGCAACAATACACGAGATTTTTACTGTTTACAATACCTGTAGTTCATTTAACCACAAAAAAAACCCCTCCAACCACACAAGAGGGATACAAAAGAGTCTCAAGAACTCAGACGCAACTTTCTGGAGGAATTTTCTGAAAGGCGATGAGAGATGAAACTCCAGAGAGGAAATGGATCCAAGCAGAGAGAAACCAAGGGAAAGCTGCAAGTTGGGAACGGACTTAGGAATCGATTACCCGATTGAAACTGCTACGATAATTTCTTTAGTTAATAAATGCAAAAGTTAACTCAGCACAAGCAGATGACAGTAAGAAAGCAAGGTAAGGGGAGGGGACCTGACACAGCAAGAGCTTAAAGCCTCCCTTCCCCTTCTCGCCTCCTGCAGACCTGGGGGGTGAGAGGTCTGGGATCTGTGTTTGTCGTATTGATCACACGCTGCTACTGACACCCACATCCAGGCCAGGCCCGTCATGTTTCCTCGCTAAAGAAAGCTGAAAGAATGAAGATAATTAAGGACAGAACATTTATTCCTTCAAATTTCAGCAGAAGAAATACCTGAGGGGTGACAGCAGTATAATAACGCCGAGTCTGGCCTAATATGCTGCCGTTCCCGATCTTTTCTCGACATGCCATTCCACTCTGTCCTGATATTCTAATTATTGGGGGGTTTTACAATTTTTATACTTCTTTTTCTTGACTGTGAACCATCGCTGTCACTTGTGGCTTAGGCTGTGGTTTTTTTAATTGGCAAACCATGTGAACTACAGAACATCTCCCCAGAAGTCTGGGTTTTTTCAGGGACAGATCTCCAGATGTCTGAGAGATATGAAAAAATACACACTGGACAAGTGGAACAACCTGACTCAAGGAAACACATCTTCCAAACTTTTTCCCCTTAGAGCTAAGTTACACCTTGAAGTGACAGCATTTAAATCTGTTTCCCCACTCCCCTTTAATTACTTCAATTCACTTGAAATTCTCCTTGAGTTTCCTTACTGCTTGTTTTTACGTACAAAGAGCTACATTCTGCAAACTTTCTGTGGTTCTGGAACCGCTTCCTCTGCCGTGCTTTGGAAGTGCATGGCAAACCAAGGTCAGCTCACCTCTCCATCGTAGGTTCAAAGCCACCTAGTCTACAGGGGCTTTCTGGGACAGAAGAGGGGTCCATTATCTCCAGGTACACAGGGTACTTTATCCAAGCCAGCTTCATCAGCAGAGTTCACGGGCAGCTTGCTGTCTCTGGCTGGGGTCACAAGAGACCCCTGACAATTAAACAAGTTAAATCAGCCAGTCTTCAACCACCGAGCAAAGCTGGCGGGAAGCCCAGCAAAGCAAGGAGAGAACCTGCATCATCTTTGTCCCGTGGGGATGCCCAGGTCAGGAGGTTTTGGGGCGAGAACAGTGTTCCTGTTGTCTCTGGCTGCGCTCCCTCAGCACAGGCAGGGAAGGCAGCGTTCTGAACGGACGTTTGTATTTCCTCCTGCTCAGGCAGGGTTGTGAAGAAGCTGAAATTTATACTCCTACAACCACCTCCGTTGACAAGTGTTAACTGGCACAGAGCTCTGAACCGAGCCACTCAGCTCGCAGCCACCCACCCGTTCGTCACTGAGCTGCGCGGGGGCAACGCCTGGCCCGAGGGTCGGGAAGGTGCAGGACGAGCGCCAGAACATGCCTGCATGGGCGTTGAGGATTCCACTTTGCTGAGCATGGAGAGGGATGCGGAGCAGTGATTTGGCAACCTGAACAAGGGAGGAAAGTGCTGTCCCCTTTCTAGTCCTCTGTCTGAGTTCTTCCCCTTTCACTCTTCTGCCCGAGCTGCGGAATCTCCTCTTGAACAGAGAATGACCATCAGTGGTCTCAGACAGGTTTGGTGTCTTGAGTCATACCTGGTGCCCTGGAATACTGCCTGCGAGTCATGGAAATTACTTACGTACATGTGTCAAACCTGCCCAGAAACGGGAGAAGATACGATAAACCCACATCCGCTGTCTGTGTTACCAGGGCAGATTTTGAGCAGCTGTCAGTACTTGAGGACTTGATTAATCCGTACAGCGGGAAGGTACAGGCAGCAGGTACGACAAAGGAAGAGGATACAGAGGAATGCGTGGGCACTTGGTGCTGGTAGCCATAGCTCCTATCGTGTCCCTGCGATACCAACACCTACCTGCTATTCTCTCGGCTGGGGCTTGTTTAAACTTTGGAGTTAAAGCCTTTTGGCACTCTGCTTTATTAACTGTACTAGGCGTTCTTACAAAAAGCCGTAGGTCTGGTTCAGAGGAGCATGAATGTGTTAAGTTACCCTGGCCACCTGTTCAGGACAGAGAAACAGATCAAAGCTTTGCTCAAGCAGCTCGGAAAAAGCTTGAGAACGGAGAGAATACAGCAGAGAAGACAGGAGCTGTGGCAAAACAAAAAGCAGCATATTTACCAACAGAAAGAGGAAACAAAAGCAGCTGTCTCAGAGATTTGAAGCTAGAGTACAACAAAGGTGAAGAAGGCAAGATCCACTGCAGGCAAAGGGAAAAAAAAAATCCAACGAAACAAAGCAGCAAGCCTACCTCATGTTCAATTAAACTGACAGTACTGGCCTTTGCAATTATACTCATGGTAGTAGAATGTTTGAAAGGTGTTAACTCAAAAAGAAAATTAAAATAACCAGTGTAACATAATGATCTCAGGGAAAGGAAAATACCAGTTATTACCATGGCTGCACAAACTGACTCAGAGCAAAAGGAGAAGGAGAAGAAAATCTGACCATCACCAATGCAACAGTCAGTTCTTAGACAGCTACGTGCTGGAATGAGTAATGAGATAAAACACCTCAGCAATAGGCTTGCCTGTGTAACCCAGCGAACAACTCCTGACCATTTAAATACAGACTTAAAAGCCGTCCATGAGCTGGAGCTTGCCCTCACTTGTAACTTCACATGCAGCCGCTCAGGAGATGCCATCCCGAGGAGCAAGTCGAAACCAGACCAGTCGAAACTACGGGCAGCCTCCCTGTCGCCTCCCGACTGCTCTGTGCCAGCCCCTGCGGCCGCTCCGCACTGGGCACAGCACAGCCTGGAGCCAGGACACCGCGCCATTTTGCAGGAACAGCAGCTGCTCCGCGGGAAAGCCGCGAGTTTGTGGCAGTTCTGGCTGAAGTCGCTTTGACCAGAAAAAGCTCTGCTCTTGCTGTCCCCCAGGGAGACGCGCATCATTCCCTCCATTGAATGGGTAACAGAGATGAAGACGTAAGCTGTCTGCGAGAGCCCAGAGGGACAAACGCTGGGTCTCATTTGGTGCTTCAAAACCAACGAGCAACGCCACGGAGTCACAGAGAGTTCAATCTCACCGAGCTGAGCTGTGGGAGCAGGAAGAGGCAACGGGTTCCCCATCCCCAGCTCCCAAAGGGAAGCAGAAACAGCAAAATGAACATGGGAGTAGGGAAGAAACCCCGGCACCCTGCAAATAAGAACCACTCGGACAGGAGTCCCTCGGGGAGGCTGCAGGAACTCCCCATCTCCCCTGTGTGCCCTGTGCCATCGTCACCCTGCACCCTCAGCAGAGCCCGCATCACAGCCACGGCACCAGGGACGGGCCACAGGCTGTGAGCTGCCAGAAACAACACTGCGGGAGGGTCTGGGAGCTCCCAGTGCTGAGCCCAGGGGCAGGAAGCTCAGAGAGGGCCAGTTAACACCACACAGAGGGGAACAGGCAGGACAAACCCCAAGTCAGCTACTTTCGTTCTGCGCCAGCCCATCTCATCACTCTGTGACGCTGTCGCTCGGCAGAGAGATCTCCAAACCGCTGCAGATAACTCTGGAAAATGCCACTTGGTCCTAGGAGGTGTTAAAAGATCAATATTAAGAATTACGAGGAAAGGAATAGAAGATGCCACAAAAACTCGTATCCTGCTGTAAGCACAAACCTTGAACAGCTTGTAAAAATCATTTGTGGCACACAGAACATGAACAGAAAGTAATTTCCTGATTCTGATAATACAAAAGCGAGAAAGCAGCCAATGAAGTGATCAAACATCATATTTTAAAGAGAATTATGACCCTGACGTACACATACATAAACTGTACAGCTGACTACCACGGGACACAGGTGAGAAGTGAGAACGCTGCAAGCCGAGATTAAACGAGCCACCCGAAAGGTGTGCATCGGCACCTGCTGAATACAACACCCCCCGGCCCAAGCTGCCTCAGCCCCGATGGCTGCTGGGATGTGTCACAGCAAACACCTCCGTCTGTCTCCCCTTCTACTGCTCCCTTTCTGATTTGGGGTTCCACAGCAGGACCCGGGGCTCTGCCACCCAAACGTGAAAAGGCGAGAGCAGAATTCCCCTGTTCATGGGATACTACCTTCCTATCTGGAAGGGGAGCGTTGTAATTACACGCTCTCCTTATTCTTGCGACTGCTGCAATCACAATTTACAACGCCGTGCTTTCCCCCTCCTGCACCGGAACAGCTGTTCACGCGACTCCCGGCAGTGCCGCAGGAGCCTCCCCCCATCAACAGGCCAAAGCACCTCCACCAAACTGCAGTGGGAAGGGGTCTGGTGGAGGGCTGCTCAAATTAGAAGCAAGAAGCAGGTCAGGGATCAGCAGAACCACGGCAGGCCGGGGACAGGCCTAATCCGTGACAGATGACACACTGCACCCAGGCCCCCGGGCCCCAGGCTGAGCGGTCACGTCACTGTCCCCATGGGGAACAGCCCCCGGGGCAGCCCACCAGGAGAAACCCCGCAGCAACGTCCCACAAGGGTCAGGCAATTCTGGGATCCAACAGGATCGTGTCTGGGTGCATATTCATGGGTGTTGGAGGGACGGGCCACAAGCGTGGAGAAAGGAGGATCAGGACGAGTCACCCGCCAAGTCCTGTGCCTCAGCACCGTCACCTGCACTGTCCTTTGTTAAATCATTTCCCAAACTATCTTCTGTGCAAGTGTGCTCCTGACGCTCTGCACGCACACCCACAAGCACACAGACCTGCCAGCCAGCCTCAGGCCAGACCAGCCAGAAAGCCAGAACAAGAGGCCTTGGGGACAGACTTTGCAGAGACAGAGGGCCTGGGAGACAGCCGCAGAACGGGATTTTCCCTGAGCACCGATCCTTAGAAACAGGGCACAGCTCTTCACGTCACCCGTGTTAGCACGGAAAAGCCCCGTGCTCCCATCTGTGCTAACCTACTTCTGTCTGGCCACGCTGCCACAGGATTTGCTCTGCAGCCTCGCTGCCGGCAGGACCTGGAGCCAGAGACGGGATCAGCCTCTCGGCTCCCCTGGCCCAGCCTGGCTGTAAGATCTGACCCCACCGAACGCAGGGCAGCGACCACGGCACTGTCATCGCTTCCCTGGGCCTCCCAGCGCCGGTCCAGAGACAGGGTCTGGCACGGCGAAGGCGTCGGTGCTGCTGGTAAGCCACAGGGACCCCGTTACCTCTAGAACAGCTCTGTGAAGAACGCAAATGGCAGCCCCGTCACGGGCAGCCAAAAACCAAGCTGGGGGTCACCAGCACCACTGACCCCCCAGGAGAGCCCCAACAGCAGCTGGGGGTCACCAGCACCACTGACCACCCAGGAGAGCCCCAACAGCAGCTGGGGGTCACCAGCACCGCTGACCACCCAGGAGAGCCCCAACAGCAGCACTCGCTGCCCTGGCCCTGCCTGGCCCTCGCTGGGACCGCAGGACGGCTGAGAAGCGGTGCTGGCCAGGGCAGCACTCGGCATGTTGCCGGCTGTCTGTTCCAGTCCGTGAGCAAGAACAGAACGGGTCTGTAGAGAACAGCCCCAGGACAAAGGCTCGAGTCCCTCCTCACCCTGCTGTGCCCCTCGTCTCATTCAAGCACATCTCCAGGGTTCGTTCCTTCCAGAAGGCCCCCAGATGAACCAATAAAAATGTGAAAAGGCTGCATATGCTCCCACTCGTGAGCATCTTCCCAATGGTCAAATAAAATAAAAAGAACTACAGCATAGCATTCGTTTTCTCCACCAGCTGGAAAAAACACAGGTCCATGGCCACAGCCTGCACAGAAGCCGGCAGCCCTCCTAGCACAGGTCTGCTTTGAGCACCTCTGCAGCCCGTCCCCTCTCCAGCAGCAGAGGCCAAAGCTCAGGGCATCTCAAACATCACCTCTCCAAGGGACCACGCTTCACTTTCCCACATACAGAAGCTCAGAGGTGACAGGAAAAGAAAGCCAGGTGCTTATCTTTTGCTACCTCTGCAAGCTTCTTTCCAGGCACAACAGTGGCTAAGAAATCAGACTCGAGCATGACACAATCCAAACACCCAGGCTGCTGGCATTTTCTGAGAATGCTCTGCTCTGTCTCCATGAAGAGGTGAGGTGCAAAAGTCATCAACCCCCCTCGCCCTGCTGCTCACGCTGCTGGGGATGCCCCAGGACACGGGGGGTTTCTGGGCTCCAGGGCATGTTGAGCTTCTCATCCCCCAGCACCCCCCAGTCCTTCTCAGGGCTGCTCTCCATCCGTTCCCCTCCCAGCCTGTGTCTGTGCTGGGGGTTGCCCCGACCCACGTGCAGGACCTTGCACTCGGCCGCGTTGAATCACGAGGTTCGCACAGAGAAACACAATCAACACAGCACCCACTGTGTGCACAGAGACTGTATACAAGAGATCTGTCTTCAGGGATGAGGCAAAAATGAACCTCTCGATCCCAGCAGCCACTGCAGCGGGGGAACAATGGGGAAAGTGCTCCAGCACCTGAGCTTGCAAGAAAGTTACTAATATGTCAAGCACAGAACAACAATCAGACAACCACAAAGTCACTTCTTTCTCAAGGGAGGTCATTGATTGGTAGCAAGAACTCCAACATCGCCTTCAGCCAGCCCAGAAATCACTCCCAAGATTTCAGAATTTCTACAAACCCAGGTCTGCCATCAGGGACAAGGTTCTCCCACTGATCTTGAGCAGCCAGACACATCCTCAGAAAAGGGCAAAGGTATTTAAGCAGAGACCAGGACTCTTCCTCCCACCACCTCTCTTCTCTCCTTTCAGCACCAGGATTCACAGCCTTGCAAAGTCCGCTGTGTTGGGGAAGGAAGCGGCGTTTGGCAGGAGCTGTACCGCAGATGACTGCACCTCCTGAGGAGTCTGCGGAAGAGGAACCTGGCACACCCCCCCTCAGTCCTTGTCTCTCTGAAACGTGACAGACACGTGCACACAGACACCTGAGAGGGAACCGGCTCGTTCCCACACGCCCAACAGGACACAGGCTCACACACCAGCACTGAATGGGTTATCTACTCAGCATTTATTATAAAAGTCTCAGCTTACACAACCACACAGTGCTTTCCTACCCAGAAAAGGTACAGAAAGAAATCTGGTCAACAGATAGCTCTTAAACACACCACAAACTACAGGAGCATCCACGTCTGCGCCTGGTTACGTCTCTCCCGCTGACACAAGCTTGCCAAGCCCAACACAGTCACACTGGGCTGACAATTAAAGAGATCCTGCTGCAGCAGAGCACAAGCTTTCCTACAATTATGTTCGGGCCACCTTTCTGTTTGATCTGTGTAGCTCTCAGGGACAGCAAGCACTGAGTCCAAGTCTTGGTTTCAGGTTAATACCAGCCAGTGGCAGG